AGTATCCCCAACTGGATTGGTGTGAAATGTATTCATGTTGGAAAATTCACTTTACACACTAAGTATAGTGATTTAATGTATAAAATAAATTAAAACCAAATAAAATACATGAATGTCTGCACTCTATGGTAGAAATTGAAAGATTGGAAAGTATAGTAGCATAGAGTGCTTCTATAGATATTACAGATAGTAACAATAAGGATAATATGAGGGTGGGTATTAGGGGAGGAGGAAAACAGAGGAAAAAGTACATATAACTGACACAAAAATGAAAAGCTATTTGCTGATGATAATATATATGGTATTGTCTTTGTCTTGTCTGACATGCACTGTACTCGTGCTGGAAAAAATCGTGTTGTACAATGTAAAAGGTATAGTGATTTAAATGTAAATAAAAATAAAAAATAAAAATATTGGAAAACAAAAACAAAAACAGCACAAGAAAGGGTAGTCACACAATTTCATTTCAGGACTCTGTTCAGATACCTCTGTATATATTTAACATTGAAATGCCATCATACCTCCTTGAAACTAACAGGCCATTTTATCATGTCTTCATTGATGACCAAGCCTTGATCATGGGTGCTGCTGTAGACAAAATCTCCTACTTTAATCAACAGCAAGATGCGATTAGAAAATCTCACAAGATTGTGGATATCATACTGTACTGCTTTTCTTTTTTCATCCAGGGGCTTGTTGTAGACAATGCTGTTTATCAACTGGCTTTTCCTCAGAAATGGATGAAGCTGGATTAAAGGCAGGATTTACAAATTAAGACTGCATTAAATGTACAGCTGGAGAGTCCATATCTATCAAGTAATCCCTCTATTTTATCATCTCAACCCTTTTTTGTAGGAGCTCAATATCGATTGAGTTTTCACCCATTCTGTGGTCATGTGATATGTACTCTCTTTTTTCTTTCTAAAATCAATGGGAGAGTGGGTGTAGCTCATAAGAAATATTCTAGGGTACCAGCAGTTAGCGTAATGGCTATGTCTCTGGACTCCCAAGTGGTCAACTGCAGTTCGCATCCTGGACTCGGTGGCTTGAAACTCACTCCAGGTTCATGTGCATGCATGCCCAAGATCCCAGGAGGAGAATGGAGGAGAGGGAATTGTGGCATGGCCACCCCCCCAGGGGTGATTTCTCGCTTTCTGTCTCTCTGTCTCTCTCTGTGGGGCCCAAGGCCCCCGGAAAAAAAAAACCCCCAAAAAAAAAAAAAAAAAAAAAAAGAAAAGAAATATTCTAGAATGTTTCCCAAAGAGTGATTTCTACATGGACTTCCATAAAACTCAGGCTAACAAAATCTGGCTTGGACTAATTAGAGACTAAACTTGGTCACTTATAAAGTGCACACATGGGCCCAGCCGGTGAGTGGTGTGATTAAAGCGGCTGAATCACACATCACTAAGCCAGCATCTTTGTTCCTGAACCTGCAGCTTACAAAACACACTGGATGGAGTCGACAGGTGGCGTGGTAGTTAAGGCATTGGACTCTTTTATAGCTGACTGTGGTTAAAGTTCTGAACTTGATGGCTTGTTTTTTAACTCTCCTTTTTTCTTTCTCTCTGTTTCTGATCAAATTTTAAAAAATATAAATAAATAAAATAAATTATTTAAAACAATACACTTGTTGAACAAACAATACGTTTGTTCATGTTCCAAATTCCAGATAAAAACAGATGGAGAAAGGATTTCATCATGACTACTCCCCATGGATGGTGATTTCTCACTTCCCCTCTGTCTTTCCCTCTGTGGCGAGCACATGGGAAAAAAAAAGAATTATTTAATTTTACTTATTACTGCTATTTTTAAAATTTGACCAGAGACAAAGGGAAACTGAGAAAGCAAGCCACCAGGTTCTAGACTTGAAAGAATCAGCCATGTGGGAGTTCAGCACTGTGACCACTATGTCACCTACTGGTTCCTTAAGATTTAGATTCTTGATACTGGTAGGAGTAGTATAAAGGTATACAGTTCTTCAAGTTTATCCAAAAATGGACATTAAATAGGTGCAATTTTTGGATACTATTTGTACCTGTTTTGTTTTTTATCTTTATTTTGTACTTCTTTTGGTACAAGTGTTATTGTCATGTGACATAAAAAGAAATAATTTGTAACAAAAATATAAATTTAAAACTTTTACATTCTTTTTTATTTAGAGAGATTTTTGCTGTAGGACATGTGTTCTTGGCAGAGAGAGAGAAACAGAGAAATCACCCACAGGAGGGATAACCATGCCATAATCCCTTCTTTTTTATGTTCCTCTCGGAATTTGAGACATGCATGCACATACCACTGGAATGAGTTTAAGCTTCCAGGTCTGAGATTTGAACCATGGTCAACTACATGATAGTCCAGTGACATAACAATTATGTTATCTGTGGTCCCCCAATTTTTAAATTCTAAAGAGGTTTTTATTCCTGGTGGGCAAGTAAACTTCCCAGAGAGACATAGGGAGAATATGAGAGATGAAAGAAGAAGTGCCCCCATGGGAAATGAGCTACAATCTCTTTTTCATTTCTCTTTTCTTTTAGGATTTTGGGAATGCATGCATGCACACATGCCTGGCATGTTTTTGAGGCCTCAAGGTTTTGGACTCAGGCCATGTGGAATTTAGCTACTTTATTCAGTAGACCATAGATCTATCCCACTAAAGAGTTAGCATGTGAGGAATTATTTATTTAATTTTATCTATTATTATTATTATTGGAGAGGTTTTTGCTACAGAACACGTGCACTTGCCAGACAGACAGAGAGAGACAGAGAGAGAGAAAACGAGAAATCACCCCCCGGGGGAATAGCCATGCCACAATTCCTTCTCTTCCATTCTCCTCTTGGGATCTTGGGCAAGTATGTACACGTGCCCGGCATGAGTTTAAACCACTGGATCTGGGACTCAAACTGTGGTAGACTACATGGGAGTTCAGCAACATAGCTATTACACTAACTGCTGGTCCCTATTATTATTATTTTTAATTTTCAATAGGGCATTGGTGCTGATGAGAGACAGAGAGAGAGTGAAGGAAAATGAGAAATCAAGCTGTCAGGTCCAGGACTTATACCACTCAGCCATGTGGGAGTTTAGAGATTTAACCACCACACCACTTGTAGACCTCAGTAAAAAGATTTTTAATAAAACATGTTAGACTTTTATTTGTAAATTTATGACATTCTTTTGCCAAAAATAACTAACTTTTATTACTATACAACTGTTCTTTCAGTCTTTACATTTTTATTTTTGAGAAGTTTTTGCTATAGGGCATGTGCTCACCAAAAGACAGAGAGAAACAGAGAGAAAAAAAAATTGAGAAATCACACCCCCAGGGGATATGGCCACACTGCAATTCCTTTTTCCCCATTCTCATCCCAGGATCTTGGACACACACGCACACTCGCCCAGCATGAGTTTAAGCAACGAGGTTAGGGAATCGAATTCCGGTCTACTACATGGGAGTCCAGCGACATAGCCATTATGCGAACTGCTGTTCTCCAGTCTTTACATTTTTAGAATGGAAGCACTCTCATCTTTAACATATCTAGGTAACCATTTTGACAAAATTACTTGCTTTTCCAAGAGTCAACTACAAACTTTTTCAAAGAGCAAATCAAATGTTATTGTTAGTACAGTAGAATTCAAATGGAAACTAAATTTCAGATCTTTATTTTTATGTATGTATATTATATTTACTTGTCTTTCTCAACGAATTTTTCTAATTTATTGTCTCATTTTATAACAATTTCTTACACATAATTAATGAACTTGCTTATATTTAAATTATTTGTTTTATTTTACTAATTATTATGATTATTTTATAGTTTTTTTAGGTGTGTGTACCACCAAAGAAAGACAGAGAACAAGACAGAGAGGCCCAGGATTTAAAACACAGTCAACCATGTGAGAGTCCAGTGCCTTAAGCATGATGCCACCTGCTGGTTCCATGATTTAGTGTTTCTTTAAAATGCAAACTTATTTATAAACCAAGTAGGATATCCTGAGACTATATGCACCAAAAGTGATTCAGTATTTTAAAACTGGATCACTGTTCCTTCTTCCATGATTTTTGAAGACAGTATAAAAATTAAAATTAATTCTGTTATGAGTAAGACAGGCCCAATAAATAACTGCAGACACTTGTAAATCATCCATGCCAGTAAAAGAGCACAACTGCTCAGATGCTCCCCAAATGGTCATTCTGAATTTACAATATTCTAACATTTCTTCCAATATTTTGTCCATCTTAATTCTGTTCATTCTAAGTTATGTTAAGGTTCTATTGTGACTATTTCCCATACTTTCTCTTCCCATCATTATATAAAATCAAGGACAGGGTAAGACATGGTGAAGTTGAGGGGACAGAGAGGAACAAGAATGTAATGGGAAGAAGCCAGCCTCCAAGGACAATTCACAGAGAAAACACAGAGTGGATCAATTATGTACAACTAATGTAGAACTCCCTTTACAGAAAAAGGTTTATTCTCTCTATATAATCTTTTTCAGTACCACAAAATATATGCCTAAGCAGATGGCTTGGTGGTTAGGGTGACTGGGTTTCCACATGAGCTACCACAGTTTGAGTTCTGAGTCTGGAGGCTTAAAAACCATGCCAGGCATGTGTGTGAGCATGCTCAAAATACTGAGAAGAGACTAGAGAATGGTTGTATGCAGCATGGCCATGTCCCTAGAAGGTGATTTTCACTTTTCTTCTGCCTTTCTCCTTTCTGGTAAGCACACTTGCTCAAAGGGAAAAAGCTAAATACAAAATAATTTTAAAAAAATCACTTCAGGATCAGAGGTGATTTGATGGTTACGGAGCACTCCCATATGACTGACCATGGTTTGAATCTCAGACCTGTAATGTGGAAAATCATACCAGGCATGAGTGTATGCCTGGTGCCCAAATCACAGGAAGAGAATGGAGCAGAAGGGATTGTTTTGTGGCCATAACCCCTGGGGAATGATTTCTTTTTCTCTCTCAATATGTGTCTCTAGTGAGAGCATATGATCTATGGCAGAAATAATTTTTTTAAAAAATGAAAAAAAAATGCCTCCCAATATCATCAGGTCCTTGTGAAGAATATTTACTTGCCAGGGAAGAATAGGCTAGTCTGCCTCTCCTGCAGATCCCAATTCTAGTTTTTGCAGAAGTATCTTATAAAGAACTTGGGCCACCACATGTACAGCATGATAGATAAAATAGCTGGGGTCAGACACTGTCATCATGTAAAAATTAAATGGTAGAAACTCTATGGAAGAATTTGGTTGGCAGTCTCCAAGTTTGCTACACAGTGGCCCAGTAAGTGAGCAATTAAAAAAGGAAACCCAGAGTCGACTGAAATAAAAATCTTCTGGGTATTGGAAAGGGTTGACTGTCTTGAGGAATTGTTTAAAGCCAGGAATATTCCTTTTCTGGTTTGAAAGAAAAAGGCTTCCATGGAAAGAGTATGGCATGTTACTCAAAATATGCAAACTATCTTCCAACTCTGAGAAGCAGAGATTTCTCATGATCCATACCTTTCCCAAAATTAAATAAAAGTTTTGTTTCAATCCCAAGCTCAGGATACTCCATTCATCACCATGTATTATATACACATTTGCAGATGACATTCTGATCCTTTTTACAAAAAAGTCACGATATAAAAGGACACCTTTTGTGGCCGGGAGCTTTTCTGTAAAGGCCACACAGATATCCTTTTCTGTCATCTTTGCCTTTACATCCTGGAGGAACTGCTCCCCTTGCATATCATCAGATACATAGAGCGCCACCCATGTCCGGCCAAAATGCAGCAACAAGCAGATGATTCCATGAGCCAGAGAGCTGTCCTTGGTGGCCATCTGATAAACTGATAGAAATTGGTCTTTATTATTAAGGATGGGGTCAAAAGGGCCATATGTGACCTGAAAGAAAAAAAAAAAAAGCCTTGTGCTTTTTTTTATACACACTGTTAGATGCCAGGTTGGGGTCATTTAACTAAAATTCAGACTTCTCAACTTTTTCTGTTTGTTTTCAATTTTTACTAAAATTAAGAGGTGAGGAGGAGTTATTTCCAAAGCTTGCCAGTAAGGCAAATGAGTTAAAAACCTTTTTTAAAAAAAATTATTGAACTAACTGCCCTGAAGTTTCTGCATGTGAAATGTAGCTACAATACTGAGCAAAGTATGTGGCCTCCCAAGTACATCAGTCACCTATGTACGAGTGTCTTGTACAGCATAAAACTGCAAGACATGAGTTGATTAAAAAATAATTAGTATATGTTATGTGTAATAAACTTAAATTTACAAAGGCTTTCCCAAGCACGGATCTGAATCTGTTTCTAGAGAAGAGAGGAATCCTGTATTAGCCATTTACCCATCACAGACTGCACCAGAGCATTTCTGGGGGCTGGTTGGATTTGCCAGTGGGCCAGTGAGGTCAGTGGGCAAATTAATAAATGTTATTCAATTGATTAACTTTACAATCTAGTTTTTTTTTTTTAATCTTAAAAAATAAAATGTTTTGCCTATTTGGTGACAGTCAAAAGGCAATGCAAAAATTTTACTCTGACCCAGTTCCCCTTGCAGTCAGAGCCCCTCGCCTTGGAAAGTGTGAATTGCCCTTCTTTTCTGTAAAGAAGATGAACTGTACTTTGCATTTTGTGTACTTGTAAGTGAAAGAACATACCATCAATTTTCCTAGTTTGAATATAGAATTGTAACACTATACAGTGTACATGTCAGGACTGTGTGTATATTTCCAAGCACACTTACAAGCACACTCTAACCATATGTGTATAATTAACAAATCTGTATATGCTTATGCCTGAGCAACATTTTTTGCAATTCTTGTTTATATTGTCTCTAAAAATGTGTAATTTTTATTTTGAAAAATACTGTTTTGGAATCTGCCAAAATATTAAAATAACCTGGTTCTGAATTTAGTGTGATATTTAAAAATTTCTCCCTTACACAAGGAGGAGTTAATTCTCTACCTGTTTAGATAATACAATGGAATATTCAGTGAAGAGATTTTATGCTGTGGAAATTATTCTATTTTGTCAATATGACCATGAGAAAACTGTATTCAATCCCATTATTTTGAGAAAGGGTATGTGACTAGTACAGGTAACAATATCACTTCCAGACCAAAGCATGAAAGAAAAACTATGAGGTTCAATATATGCTTTATTGTATACAGTGAGAACTGAGGTATGCATAAACTTCATAAAGGTGGTGCAACAAGATGTTGGTGATTCTGCATCCTGAGCCCATGTGACAATGTGGATCAGAGGCTTCCTTCCCTAGATGCCAAGTTTAAAATACTAAACTCTGAGAAAAAATTATGTATTGAATTTTTTATACTGTATCTTATCGACACAGCTTAAAATATATTGTCTTGAAAACACAAGCATATAGCCTCTATGATATTTTTAAAACAAATTTTTCCTACAACATAATTATTTTATGCTAATGCTGTATTTACCAGTAATGTCTCCTGAAACTTTTACAAGACAATTTCCTTGGAAGAACCTCTGAGGTGGAGAGTTGTCATGCTGAGAGTAACTGGAACTGCTTCTAAGGGATCCACCTGCATGGATGTGAGAAAGGGCAGAGGGAGCTGGTAAACCTCAGCTGGGGGAACTGAGTTATTTTGTGAGTTTGGAGGATCTCCAGTGCTGGAATATTATTTATTTTTCCAAAGTGATAATGCATGCAAAGGTTTTTATATTTTTGTGTCTAATTTTTCTCTGAATGCCCCTTAATATTGTCCTGCCCCAAAACGGGATGGTTCCCTAAACCGTGTGCACTTTTTAGAAAGCATCTTTAAGAGAACCATCAATACTCCCATCACTGGGGTTTGGATGTCATGGCTATGGAGAGAAATTTGGGTGAAACTTAACAGATATTGCTGCTTTTTTATTTTTAATTTGTTATAGGGCAAGTTAAATTATGTGTGCTTGCCACAGAGAGATAGAGAGATAGTGAGAAATCACCCCTCATAAGGGATGGTCATACCAATATCCCTTCTATGTTGGATTTGGGGCACATATGCCCAGTATATTCTTCAGGATACCAAAATCAAGATTTGAGCGAAGCAGTCAGCCAAGTGAAATCCAGCCACATTAACCACCATAACACCAGCTGGCCTACCGCAGCTCTTTTTCTTTTTAATCCTTGTACTGTTAATAGTCCCATGACCTAAAAAAGAACCTTGCCTTTTTTGCTCTGTTTAAGCAAATTGTGTTCAAACAACCAAGAGAAGTGCTGAGGGCCTCTAGATATATGTAAACCCAGCTTCCATGTTTTCTTCACTCAGATCTAAGAGGATTACATTAAGAGCTATCCAATTTTCATTCTTTAACCTGACTACCCACTTACCTGTGGACTTTTGTAGAGCTCCAATAGGGTTCCAACTTGGGCTGAAAATGTTGGCATGTTTCCTGCAATAATAGCAACAGGTTGTTTCTGTATCTGGCAGTTGTAGTTTGGCAGGGACTGATATCCTCCAGTGAGCAAAAATAGAGCACTTTCTAAAGTTCTTTTATCACTGGGAAATGCATTGTGGAAAGCATAACCAAGGGAGTGGTTGGGGAACAAATGCAGACTCTTATTGATCTGCCCAATGGCAAAGTAAAAGGCCAGTATATATCGATAGTTTTTCCATTGGTACCTAAACAGAGGGAAGATCATTAGAAAATACAGTCAAGTCATGCAATTCAGGGTAAATCCTTCAGCCAAGCCCAAAGACATAAATTTATAGGCCCAGGTTGCAATTCAGAGATTCTCCTGCAATGGTACACAGAGCTAGTGTGAATAATGTTCCCAGGTTTTCAGAAAACCTCGAATGTATTTTTCTCTCTGCTTAAGCAAATCACGTCAAAACAATGAAGAGAGGCTCTGAAGGCCTTGTGAGTGAGATGAGGTATCGTTTAGCTGGATAATAACACTGTTGTCTGAATAGAGATGATTTTAAAGGAGGATCAATAATATAGGAAGAAAATAAAAAATTTCTTTAAGAATATGACTTAAGAATTTCCCACTTCTCCTTACCCCACAGTACTCCCTCCAGCTCTTCAGCAGAACCCATTCCCATCTCCAGACCCCTGACCTAAGGGACACTGAAGCAAGGCCTCCCTGCCCCAGCTCCAGCTTCAGTTGCCCAACACCAGTGACCCTCTCTCTGTAAGCAAGGTAGACCTTTTTTCCCCTTCTCTTCTTCTTTCTTTTGTTAATTTACCATTTTTCCTTACCCCACAGGACTACTCCAAGCTCTTCAGAAGATCCCATTTCCATCTCCATACCCCCAGCGAAATCGTGCACTGCACACTTTCTTTATTCTCTTTCATACTCTTTTATCTTCCATCTTATATTGTCATCTCCTGCCAATCCTCCATGCACCATAAGGGGCTAGACAGGTCTAGAATCACAATTTTCAAATATCCTGGAATTGTGATGCTCCCTGGGATTCTCGCTTTTACATAACCACTTCCATAAAAGGAAAGACTGCTCTTCAGACTCCTGAATAGAAGACTCCTCCTGTGCAGACCACATTGCAAAACACAGCAGAAGAGAGACTTTGGCACACATCAGTCAACAAAAAAGGAAGCACAGTTGTTTCCAGTGAAAGAAACATTTTCCAAAAAGATATCCAAAAGTGAATACCTCTCCCCATGGCTAGAAGTAGAAAAAGATCCTCAGGTCTGAATAATCAAGGAAATATGTCTCCATCAAACTAACACAGTAACTCCCTCCATCTCTTAAAAAAACAGATATTACCAAAATGTCAGAAAAAAATTAAGAACATTCATGGTGACAAAATTCTATCAGTAGTTATAGAAATGGGACAATGAGCTACAGGAGATTAGCAAGTCCTTCCAGGATATGAAGAAAGAAATGGACACTCTAAGACTCACATGGAACTATTAGAGATGAAGTCTGTAATACAGGAAAACAAAAATTCTCTTGAAAGTATTAAAGGTCTATTAGACCATACTGGATATTGAATCTCTGATGTAGAAGGTAAAACCTCTGGCCTAGAAAAAAAAATAAAAAGATAGAGAAAATAACAAGAAAACATGAGGATAATGTACAAGAAATATTAGACTACATTAAACATCCAAACATCCGAGTAATTGGTATCCCAGAAGGTGAAGAAATAATATGGGCATGGAAAATCTTATTTTATAAAATCCTGGAAGAAATTGTCTCAAGTCTAGAGAAGCACTTACACATCCAGACCCAAGAAATATAAGGAACTCCAAATAGAACCAACTCAAGAAGAACTTCCCCAAGGCATAACTTAGCCAGACTGGCCAAGACCACAGGTAAAGACAAGATACTGAAATTAGCAAGAGAGAAACAAGAAGTAACTTACAAAGGTCATCCCATCAAGCTAACTCCAGACCTTTCAAAAGAAACAATGCAAGCAAGAAAAGAATGGGAAGACATATTGCAAGTGTTAAGAGACAAACAGTTTCAACCAAAATTATTATATCCAGCAATATTATCATTCATATGGTAAAAAAAAAAAAAATCAAAATCTTCTCAAACAAAGAAAACCTGAAAGAATTTGCCAACACCAGACCAGCTTTTCAAGAAACTCTGAAGAGGGACCAGCAGTTAGCATAATGGCTATGTTGCTGGACTCCCATGTAGTCGACTGTGGTTCAAGTCCCGGCCCTGGTGGCTTAAACTTACGTCGGGCACATGTGCGTGCATGCCCAAAATCCCAAGAGGAGAATGGAGGAGAAGGGATTGCGATGTGGCCATCCCCCCCCAGGGGTGATTTCTCGCTTTCTGTCTCTCTGTCTCTCTCTGTCTGTCTGGTGAGTGCATGTGCCTTTTAGCAAAAACCTCTCCAAAAAAAGAAAAAAGAAAGAAACTCAAAAAAAGAAACTCTGAAGAGAGTCCTGTTCTAGGAAAAATAAGAATTATCAGCCAGAAAAAATGGTGAAAGACAACCAAGACAATGGCCAACTTAAAGGTAAGGACAAGTCTGGAAATATCGATAATAATATTGAATGTTAATAGATTAAATTCTCCTATCAAGAGACACAGACTGGCTGAATAGATATAAAAACAGAGTGCCTCTATTTGTTGTCTACAAGAAATTCATCTCATGGATAAAGACACACATATATTAAAAGTGAAGTGTTGGAAAAAAGTATTCCATGCAAATGGGAACCAAAAAGAAGCTGGAGTAGCGATACTAATTTCTGTCAAGATAGGCTTTAAAACAAAAACTGTTCAAGAGACAAAGAATGGCACTATATTGTAGTAAAAGGGTTAATCTATCGAGAAGATATAATGTTAATAATTATCTATGTACCTAACACAGGAGCACCCAAATATGTGAAAGAAAGACTGTTAGAGCTAAAAGGAGAGATAGATTGCAACACAGTAATTATTGGAGACCTCCACATCCCACTATCTCCAGATCATCTAGACCAAAAATAAGTAAAGAGGTAAAGGATCTAAATGATACCATAAATCAAATGGACTTAACAAACATCTATAGAACTTTCCACCCGAAAACCACTAGATATAGTTTTTTCTCACCCCCACAAGGAAACTTTTCAAAGATTGAACACATGACAGGGCACAAAGCAAGCTTCTACAGATTCAAAGGTAGTTTTCCCTTCAAGTCTAGCATCTTGTTGTTTAAACAAACTTTTTGTTTAAAAAAAGAAAAAAACTATATTATCCAGAATCTTTTCTGATCATGATGGAATTAGACTTGATTTTAATTTTATGAGAAATTCTCAAAAATACACAAATACATGGAAACTAAATAGCCTACTCCTGAATGACTATGTAACTACTGAAGAAATTAAGACTGAAAAAAAAATTCATGGAGACCAATTACAATAAGGACATGAGTTTCTAAAATCTTTAGGACACTACAAAAGCAGTTATGAGGGAAGTTATAGCCATTAGTGCACATAAGAAGAAGACAGAAAGAAGGCAAATGATCAACTAACATCATGCCTCAGAAAATTGGAAAAGCAACAGCAAAAATATACAAAAAAAAAAAAAAAAAGAAACTCCAGGAGAAAAGAAATAATAAAGATTTGAGAGAAATAAATGAAATAGAAAATAACCAAACTATACAGAAAATAAATGAAAGAAAAGGCTGGTTCTTTCAAAAGACAAACAAGATTGACACATCATTAGTCAGACTAATTAAGAAGAGAGAAAGGAACCAGATAAATCAAATTCACAATGAATCAGGTAACATTACAAAAGACATAACAGAAATACAAAACATCATTAGAGGATACTATGAGCACCTCTATGCCAACAAAGAATACATGGATGAGATGGGAAAATTCCTGGACATGTATAATCTACCAATATTGACTCAGGAATGCATAGAAAGCCTGAATAGACATATAACATACAATGATATTTAATCAGTAATAAATAACCTCTCAACAAAGAAAAGTCCAGGACCTGTTGGCTTCACTTTCAAATTTTACAAAACTTTTAAAGAAGAGGTAACTCTCATTCTACTCACACTGTTTCTAGAGATCCAAAAAGAAGGAACCCTTCCAAATTAATTCTATGAAGCCCCCATAACCATCATTTCCAAAATGGTTAAGGATATGACAACAAAAGAAAACTACAGTCCTATATCCCTGATTAATATAGATGCAAAAATGCTCAACAAGATACTTGCTAACTGTATTCAACAGCATATAAAAAAGATTGTTCATCACGACCAGGTAGGCTTTATTTCAGGGATGCAAAGGTGGTTCAACATACTCAAAAACATATGTGTAATACACCATACTAACAGAAAGAAAAGTAAAAAACATATGATTATTTCAATTGTTGCAGATCAAAACCACAATGAGATACCACCTAACCCCAGTCAGAATGAAGATTAAAATAACAAATAATGGTAAGTGCTGGAGAGGATGTGGTGAAAGGGGGACACTCCTACACTGTTGGTGGGAATGTAAATTGGTCCAACCAGTGTGGAGAACAATATGGAAGTTCCTCAAAGATCTTCAAATAGAACTACCATATGATCCAGCAAGTCCACTCTTGGGTAACTACCCAAAGAATAGGAGAGCACTCAGTCAGAAAAGCGCTTGCATAACTATTTACATTGCAGCATTATTCATGATTGCTAAGTCATGGAACCAACCCAAATGTCCACAAACTGATGAATGGATTGAAAAATTATGGTACTTATATTCCATGGAATACTATTCAGCCATAAAAAACAAGGCCCTGGAATTTGATAAACAGTGGACAAATATGGAATATTTGTTGCTGAGTGAAGGAGAGGCATTGTATGTCCCCACTTAATATATACCGAGTGTCTGCACCCTATGACTGAAACTAATTGACTAAAGGATATAGAAACACAGTATATAAATGTAAATACCAGATAGAGTGTGTGTGAAAGAGGAGGGTCTGAGGAAGGACATTTGGGGCAGGGACAGGGAGGCAAAGCATCAATGGCACAAAGAGGTGTGGTATTATCTGTTGAAGATATTTTG